CTAGGCCATGTTAGTAAATGATGAGAGGACTTAGAAAAAAAGGAAGTGGTACAGAACTTGGATCTGAGAGATAGGTCAACATTTGACAGATGAGAAAAACTGAGGTTCAAAGCTGTTAAATNGTAGGCCATGTTAGTAAATGATGAGAGGACTTAGAAAAAAAGGAAGTGGTACAGAACTTAGATCTGAGAGATAGGTCAACATTTGACAGATGAGAAAAACTGAGGTTCAAAGCTGTTAAATTATTTATCCAAGGTCTCCAGGTAATTAAGTAGCAGAGCCAGGATTCGGATACAGGTCTTCAAATTCTAAAATCAGTGCTCTTTTCACTGTATGGTACTAATCAAGTTAGGTTCACCAAAAGTTAAATCAAGTCATACTCAACCGCATTTCTTTTTATTGGAGACTAGAAGATTAGAAAAATGATGCTGAATTTCAACAAGGCATTTGGTGAAATCTCTTGTCCAAAAATATGAATGAGACAGAGAAATTTCTGTTGGATGACCATACAATGAGATGGATTTTTAACTCTTTGAATGGATGTACCCATAGAGTGTTGCCTAATGGATCCAGGCCAATCTTGAAGGGAGGTGACAAGCCACAGGGCTCTGTTTTCCAACCTGCTCCATCTCAATGACTTGAATGAAGGTGTAGCTATCAAGGGTAGCTAATAAATTAGATGACAGAGTCAAGATTCAATAAGACAAGCTGGAATGATGGATTGCATCTATCAAGTTGAAAATTAAGAATGATAAATGGAAACCCCTCCATTTGGGTTGAAACAAAACAAAACAAAACAAAACCCCACACATTAATAGCTGGCATTTTACATCATGTTTTAGGGCTGACATGATTTCATTTAGTCCTTATAGCTGAAGGGGTGTGCTTGCCTTTTCCAGGGCTTAGTACCTCATCTTTTCCCTCTGGGCATTTGCATGGCCTGTCCTCTCATACCTGGAGTGCATTCTCTCCATATTCCTACATCTCAGAATCCCTAGGCCTCCTTCAAGCCTGGCTCAGCTCATGTACCATTTCCTGATGGGAAGCCTTTCCAGATCTGTTCCTCCTTAAATTATCATGCATATGCTTATCTATACACACAGTGAATCCCACTCAGTAAGCTCTGAGAGAAATGACTATTAAATAATTAATTGTTAATATTGGGGAGACCCAGGATTTTTCCCTTTCTGAAACCTTATTCTCTAATAGGCCAAATCAGCATCTGAAGGACATTGTGGATGGATGAGATTGCTCAGATCCTCAGGGTATGTGCCTTTTCATCCTGGGTGGGAGCTGTTGCCTCATCCAACTAGAGAACCTTACAAAGAATTTAATTTAAGGTGAATTCTGACCCATTGTGTTCCACTACATGAAATTGGAGCAGAGATGAACCCCCTTTTGCTTAGATCGTCCTAGACTGGGTAGTCTGGATAAGAAATAACTCTCTTTGACCAAAACTAAGTGATCAGAGTCATGTCCTCCCAGACCCTTATTAGAATAAGCCCATCTCTCATTATAATATTCATTCTCTCATTACTTGCTAATCAATCATAGTTGATTACCACCCTCAGGAACACTCACTATTCCAAAGGCATATAAGCCTTGAGTGGGTTCCATGAGGAGTTGGCATTCAAGAATGGCATTGGCCCCTTTTATTAACTACTGCTAGCATAATTAATAAAAGGATTAATTACCAAGAAAGTATGTCTCTGGAATATTTTAATACATCATAGTTGCTTAAGAGCAGGGATAGATCTTCATTCTCTATTGTTCCCAGTGCCCAGCTGGATTGGTACATAAGGGTAAGCATTTTTGTTTGTTTGCTTAGACCTGTGATTTTGTGATTTTAGAGAGCTCTTGGGTGAGGACACCCTTTACTAGTGAAGATGATCAATGTCATGCAATTTATAGCTTTAGAGAGCTGCCTGGGGGCTCTTAGATGTTGAAAGACTTACCTGAGGTTACACATTCATGATGCTTCATAGAAAGGCTTTGAATCAAGGTCTCCCTGGCTCTGAACCTGGGCCCTCAATTCACTCAGCCATGCTGCCTTTCTCTAGATATTTTTTTCCATTTTTATAGATGAAGAAACAGAGACTCAGAGATGTTATGTGACTTACCCATGGCCAGAGCTAGTGAATGATAGATGGCAGATTAAACCAAATCCTCACCTACTGTACTAACTCTCAGGTACAAGATAGGGAAGATATGACCAGATGGCATTAAATGTGAAATAGACTTAAGAGTTCTAGTGGAATGGTATCTTGTTATGAGTCAAAGGTATGACAGAACAGCTAAAATAAAAGTTAATATAGTTTAAGCTTCATTAAAAGAGAGTATGCAAGGGCAGAGCCAAGATGGTGAAATAAAGGCAGAACTCCACTGAACTCTCCCAAATTCTCCTCCAAATAACTTTAAAAAGTGCTTCAAAATGAGATCTGGAGCAGCAGAACTAACAAGAGAACAGGGTGAAACAATTTTCCAGCCAAAGACAACTTAGAAGGTTGAAAGGAAAACATATGTCTTACTGGAATGAGAGTGGAGTACAGCCTAGCACAGGGGGTGACCCAGCAAGCCAGTGCAAGCCTTCAGGGTGGGAGGCAGCAGAGACTTCCAGAGCTCTGAGCCCACAGACAGTAAGGGGGCTAAACAACTGCTCAGAAGGAGGTTACTGGGGACACTTTGCTGGCAGTGGATGCAGGACTCTGTTGCATTACCCATATACAGTTCTGGTTCACAGACCCAGATTGCAATCCTAGGGTGAGGAGGAGTACTAATACACTACAGCTCTCAGCCACAGAGGAGT